AACTGCTCTGGAATGTGTGTGTATTTTAAAAGGCTTTACGCATCAGCCTTCTCACCAGAGTGGAGAATGGTTTGTGAACATGGGAGTGGTACCGCTTTGTTGTGAAAACTGGAGCTCAGTCCTAGCCAGCAGCGTCTTGCTGTGTTTCCCGGAGGAAGTTTCACTGTGGGCTGGGGACCCTCTTCAACACAGCCCCTGCCGGCAGTTGAGGCTTAGTGGGTTTTAGTTCTTCCTCAGCTGCAGAGGAGCCGACCTGTGTTGACTTTTGTAGGGTTAGCTAAAGGTTTCCTGACGACCTTCCTTTTTTCTGGCTCTCACTGTCTAGGCTGTCGTTACCGCTCTCTGCACCACGTTCCACCCGCTTCTCTAATTCCAAAGCACTGGGAATTAAATTCAGGTCCAAAACGTTTTGTGACCCAAAGAGCCTATTTGTGAAACTGGGCTTTCACAGTGAAAATACAAAAAGCCTCTTATTTGCTGTGTAATTCATGAGGTTACTAGCGTGAAAGTCTTAAAAGAGGAAAAAGCTTGTGTCTTCTAAGTTTTACATAAATGGAATCAAACGGTTCATACTTTTTTTTTCCTCTTTCAGTGAACACAGTGTTTCTGTGGCTCATCCACGCTGCATCCACCACTTAATTCATTTTTCATGGCTGAGTCAGAGCCATTATATGGGAATATCCCTGCTTATTTATCTAATCACCGCTCACTGGCATTTGAGTTGTTTCCAGTTTGAAGCTATTACAAGTGAAACTATGAAGATTCATGTGCAAGTCCTTCTATGGACAGAGACTTTCAGTCCCTCAGGCAAATACCTAGGAGTGGAGTAGCTAGGTTATACAGAGGTATATGTTCAACTTCTTAAGAAACTTGTTGAACTTTTCTACGAATGTTAAACAATTTTATACTCCCACCAGATGCACGTGAGAATTGCAGTTTATGTATCATAAAATCAAATTCTTCAATACATATATTGCAGATGACTTTTCATTTTCATCAGTCTTTTGAAGAGAAAAAATTTTTTTTTCATGAAACCAAAATATTGATGTTTTTCTTTTCTAATTTATGCTTTGTATTTTGTTAGTTTCTTTGTGACTCAGGATTGAACCCAGGGCCTTTGCCCTGAGCTACGTCCCCGCTCATTTTTTATTTGGGGACGGGGTCTTGCCAAGTTTCTAAGTTGGCTAGGCTAGTCTCAAACTTGTGATCCTCCTGCTTCAGCTTCCCAGAGTGCTAGAATTGTAGGTGTGTGTCAGTACCCCTGTGTGTACTATTTGAAACTCTTGCCAAACACAAGTGACTAAGATTTTCTTCTATACTTTCTTCCATAAATTTTATAAATTTAGCCCGGACATTTAGGCCTATGATTCATTTTGGACTGAATTTTGGATGTTTTGAGGTAGAAGGGTCAAGATTCATTTTTCCTCACTTCATCTTTGGATGAATTTTCTGTCTGCCCACACTCCTGACGAGCTTATGTAGTCATGTGGCTTTAAGTGTCATCTGCATGTTGATGTCGGCTCTGGTGTGGGCTGCTGGTAACAGGGGTGTGAGACTGCCCCCACACCTAGCGCTTGGTGCGCACCGGCTCTTCTCTCCGTGCTGCCCTCTCACAGCCTTTCCAGTCGCATGCTGTAGCAGCTCCATTCTTCCGGCTGCTTAGGGCAAAAGCCTTGGCATTGTCTTCGACTGTGCTCTTCCTCTTACCCGACAGGTCACTGTCAGCAAACACTGCCGGTCCACCTGCGCGTCTTTCGCAGAAGCACACCTCCTCACCCTGTACGGCAGGAGTCCCTCGGCTCCCCGGGGCCATTGCGGTAGCATGTTCACGGGCCTCTCTACTTCCACCGTCGCGTAGCTATTAAATAAACTCAGAGGTGGTTATTTTTCTGCTCAGACCTTGCCAGTGGCTTTGGGCGTCCCTCAGAAGTGGAGCCAGTCTCTGTGACGGCTGAGTCGTGCACCGCCTGGCGCGGCTCCTGACGGAGGCTCGCTCGGCTCTGCGCAGTACGCGGACTCGGTGCCGGCTGCCCGCCTAGCACATCTGGTGCACTAGACGTGTGCTTGCCCCTCTCTCGGCCTGGAGGGCTTGTCCTCCCGGCAGCTCCCAGCTCCGTCCCTGCTTCCTGGGGTCCCTGTCAGCTGTCCGCTCAGCCAGGCCTCCGCAGCCTTGCCTTTTAATAGCAGCGTGCTCAGCAGGGTGGCCCCATCGCTGCTTTATTTTCCTCATGACTGTCCAACACACTGTGTACTTTACCTTTTCCTGCCTTTTTGTTTTTTAAATTCAAAAATGTTTAATAAATGTGTGTGACACATCCTAAATGTATTCACCAGGGTGTTCATGCAGGCACATCTCCCATCCTCCCCTCCCTCCCTTCCTCTGCTTCCCTTTCCTCCCTTCGTGGAATACAAACTTCTTCGGAGTGGAGATGATTGTCTTTTCGTTAGTTACTCACATTCCCAACCGCTAGCGCCCTGCCTGACGTGTAACAGACCCTTGGGAAACTATTGGATGAATGCGTGGATGCACGTAACATTTTAGGCATTTGGCTTTTTCCCCTGAATGTAGAGTGGGGGTGTGTATAGTTAGAACATTGTAAACAATGCAGGTCCTCAACAAAGTTACGATATAGACAAACAAATATTTCAGAACTATTCCCTTCTTTTAATGATTAAAAAATGTTAAGTGCCTCTTAAAGGATGCTTAGCATATAGGCAAAATATAACAAAAATAGCCAAAAAACTGCAGCATGTTCCCACCACCCAGGTTAAAAGTACTGAAGACCCCTTTGGGCTTTGCCCTAACGTCTGAATTATTTTTTCCTTTTCTTTCTCTCTTTTTGAGGCAGGGCCCCCCTATGTAGTTCAGGCTGACCTTGAACTCAGAGTGATCCTCTCCTGCCTCAGCCTCCTGAGTGCTGGGATTACAGGCATGTGCCACATGGCCAGATCTTATATCTTTATAGTTTCACCACATATGAATATATCATTCAGTTGTATGTTTTTGAGCTGTCTATAATTGGAATCCTACTCCGAGTATTCTCTGTAACTTACTTTGTTCTACAGCACATCTCCCGTTGTGCCCAGTGTCCCTGGGATACCTGAGATTCATCTGTGTAGATGCACATAGCTGCAGTTCACAGCATCACCACTGTGTCAAACAACCACAGGTCACTCACTCACTTCCCTGTGAGGAAAATTTGTGGTGATTTTCTTGGGTCGGTCTCTCTTCCCTCCTTCCTTCCTTCCTCCCTTCCTGTTGTTATTGAAGCTGAAAGCAGTACTGCTGTAAACATAGTTGTACACATGTCATGGAACATGCAGTCAAAGTTTTCCTCCATGGCAGATGCTCAGGAACTAAATCTCATGCCTGTGTGAATCTTTCATTTGATAGATGATGTCAAATTGTTTTCAAAAGTAGTTGTATGTATTACGGACCGTCAGTGGGAGATGCGTTGGTTATCTTTTTTGGTGATGCTGGCGACTACAAGGGGAGGGTGAGGACAGACACACTGTCCCAGCCCTGCACAGGAGGTTGTCCTGCTTTAAGTCCTCCTACCGTAAAGATGTAAAATGGCATCCCGTGTTAGCTTTAACTCCCGCTCCCTAACGAGGCTAGATGGTTTTTCAGGTGTAATTGGCCACCCTGTTTCCTCCTTCATGGACATGGTATCCATGTTATCTCTTTTAATGGGGCTGGTTGGAGGTTTGCAGGAATCTGTCACGTTTTCTAGATACATATCGTTTGTCAGTAACATATAATGCAGATATACTACCTTGTCCCTAAATTTTGATGTAATTTGCACCCTTGTTTATTAAGCAGTTCTCACCTGTGGAGGTCACCCAGGGGCTTTCCTGCCTCGGTCAGAGCACATTCCTGTGGTGGTGGCCTCCTCGTGACCAGGCCCTGACTGCTTGCTCTCTGGAAGGAGACGGGCTCCGTGGAGAGGAGCTGAGAGCAACATAGTTCAATAGTTCATTTTTGGAAATGGAGAGAAAGAGAATGAATACGTACAAAACGTATATCCTAATTTTTGCTTAGCACTGTAGTTCACATATTTTTATGTATTAAAATTGTTCTAGCTCAATTTGAATGAATATTGCATTGATGGGTAGATCAAAATGTATTTTATACTTTGTCAAGCATTTGCAGTTATGAACAGTCTGAAAACAACTGAAATCATGAATTTGTGGTGTTTTGCTTATTTCTTTATGAAAGATTCATAGAGGTGGTGTTACTAGCTTAAACCAGTAACCATTAGGAGTAATAAGCAGTAGGGCTGGGGGTGTGGCTCAGTGGTAGAGTGCTTGCCTGGCATATACAAGGCCCTAGTTCAGTCCCCAGTACCACACACACACACACACACACACACACACACACAAGTAATAAGCAATTGAGAATAACTGAGAGTCATATGAACTTTATAAATTGCCTTTGTGTGAAACACTTGTTGCCACTGCTTGATTCTTTACAGGGGAATGCGTATTGAAAAGTATCCAGAACACACACTTCTATATAAGCTTAGCTGGAATGATGTCCATACCTGGTGTACAGTATATATTGGGTAGTAATTGTAAGTTTCCCTTTTCAGTATTTTAATGATCTTAATATATTTAGTTTGAGGGGAAATTTAATGATACTTTAAATTCATGCACTCAGCAGTGTTTGACGGTGATTTACCAGGGTTAGGGATTAGCTTAGTAGAGTGCCTGCCTAGTCATATAGAAGGCTGGAGTTCAACTCCCAGCACTGAAAAAAAATTTCTTAACCAAAGCATGCATTTAGCATCTTTAACTGGCCTCTCCCCTTTAAGGTAATTAGAATTCATCACAGGTTCAGTAACCCTGCAAGGCAGGGCATACTTGATGTTTGTGTGACATACTCTAGCTTACTAAAATGGCTTTTCCTGTCATTAAGGGACGTAGAAAATCACCTTCTGTTTCACTGTCATTGTCATCGGTGTTAAACGCTTGGTCTTGTCGCTCTGCCCTGTCCACAGGTTAAAGTGTTGCACAATCAGCTGGTCCTTTTCCACAACGCCATCGCTGCCTACTTTGCTGGGAATCAGAAGCAGCTCGAACAGACCCTTAAACAGTTCCATATCAAATTGAAAACCCCGGGAGTGGATGCCCCATCTTGGCTTGAAGAACAGTAAAATCTCACCTGGAAAGAAAAGAAAGCTATACCGTTATATTTCTAAACAAACCTAACAAGAGTTAAATGGAGAGGGGGAAGCGGTGAGGGGCAACAACCATTGCAGTGAATCTTTCACAAACAGCTTTAATTTTTCCCTTTTTCACACCTTTACAATTGAACTGTTCAATTTGATAGGAAGGTGAGTGGCTTAAATATAAACATTATTTCTATAATTTGAACACAATAATTTTCCTTCTTGAGAAATCCTTTTGTATTGTGAGAGTTGATGGCTATTTCTGTAGTTTGAAAATATCTAATATAGATTTGCACTGACAAGATAAAAATTAAAGGTTTTTGGTCCTAGAAATGAGGGCCAGCTGTAACTTTTCCAAAGGGAGGTTTATGTGATTTGTATGAACATCAGATATTTTATATATGAATATATTAAACATCTTTATGAGAGTCATTTTCATGTATTAAAAAAAAGAAACTATTTTGCAGAGTAAATTATATGGGTCCTGCAGCACCCGCAGAGATGGCAGTGCTAATGAATCATTGGCCCATGGGGTTGTGGCAGATACCTTTTTAAAAATGAATCTGTACCATTGTGATTTTGTGTAGGTTTTTTTAAGACACAGGAATTACGTGGACATTTCTGTGAGGCATTTAAACTTGTGAATTTGTATTACCCAAGTCATTGGACAGTAACATTAGCAATTTTTTTTAGATTTATAATGAAACCTACTTTTTTTGTGTGTGTGTCTTTTTTTTTTGAGACAGGGTCTCGCTATGCAGTTCAGGCTGGCCTTCAGCTCACTTTGTAGCCCAGGCTGGTCTCGAACTCACAACGATCCTCCTGCCTCAGCCTCCTGAGTGCTGGGATTACAGGCGTGTGCCACCACACCCAGCATGAAACCTACTTTAAAAAAAAATTTTTTTTAAACAAGTGGACTTGGGAATTGAAATTCTCAATGGTTTCTAAAGTAGAAATCTGTACCTAGAAAGCTGGGTTTTGGATAAGTTCCATTTTGATAGAAGTGAATTCCTAGTGATCGTTCCTTGACCTCCATATATAATAATACCATTTAAGCCTTAAATCACAGATATGTGCCTTCTCAAGTACAGTAACTCTTATTCAACCAGTGTACATAATCCATGCCGAAACCCCCTTCTGATAATGTTTGACGTTTTGTTCTGTGTTATGGGACACTATGTATAAATGTTGGGTTTCTTTGTTCTCATGAAACCACATTTGAGGTTTATGGTGAAATAACTTTGAGTTTGATGTTTTGTTTCATGATTCCTTTTCAAAAAAGAGAAGACAGGATTTTTTCATCTGAGTAATGGAAAGGTGCGGGGGTAACGCGAAGGGTGATTGGAAGGGCAAGCGCTGCTTTCGCTGTGCAGAACTTGTGCTGTGTTGTGTGGTAGCCTCTCTGCCATGTGGTTCCTCAGTAACAGAATCCTCTGTACATGTAAAGTTCCTTTGATTGTTATCATAGACATAAATTAATATTCTGAGAGAGATCTCTTTTCCTGTTCATTTCTATTGTGTTGCAATGAAGTACTTATAATTACTGTTATACGTGAACTTTGTGGATTGTAAGATTTGTTATATATGTTCAAATGCCTTTTAGCTGGCTTTTTAATTCATTAGATGCCTATTTTGAGTGCTTAATACAATGTAATGTGACTGTAAATCATAAACTTATTTTAAATCATTTCCTCTGTACATTTGTACTCTGAAAGAGCCTTATTTTATTCTTCCAGCGGAATAACTACTTGTGATGGTTCATTTACATTCCCCAAAATGTGCCTCTAGTGTGAATTTTATATTCTTATTAAAAGTGTTTGCTGCAGTACCTTGTTTCTCTGGCCCTCATAGTTTTAAATTAGAAGTAATTATTTGGAAATTCTGAGGACATACGATTTTTTTTCCTGTGAAAAAAATCGGGAAAACAACAAAATAAAAAATGGTGCTTCTGTTACTTACAGTTGTTATGCTCAGTAAGTTATTCTTCTTCCTCCGTCTGAATCTCTTCTGGGAACTGAACAGGTCCAGTCTTAGCACACTCTAATAACAATTACAACAATGGAAGAGCTAGTTTCATGTTTTAATGATAAAAATACCAGTGACTCTGAGTTGTGGGTATGTGTGCAAGAGGAGTAAATAAGTTAACATACTAGATGGTATGGTAAGTTCACTTTGTTAGGAAAAGTACTTCGTAGTCAATGTAGGAAAAAAGGAAAATCTCACAAAATAACAGATAATAACTAGCTTCACAAGTGACCGAGTACCTAATACACTGAAGTTAGATCTTTTCATCGCCTATGTTTTGTATTATAAAGTCAGGTTCAGATATCCTTTAATAGGCATTCATTCGTCTTTGGCCTCCTGATTATTTTCTTAGGGTATATTCCCAGAAGTGAAGATGGGTCCTCAAAGTGTATCTGCACATTTCTAAGACTGTCTTGTTTGCCTTCAAGAAGAGCATTTACACCTCCCAGAGCACTCACAGGGCCAATTCAGCATGTTTTTAAAGCTACTGTGCCAAAAAAAAAAAAAGAGGACTCAGCAGGACATCACTTTATAAATGTTTTAGGTGGAAAGGGAAAAACTGTCAGGAAGATAGATAAAAGTTGAACAATCGGGAGTTTTCAGATGTGGGTGTGACAGGAGGAGATGGGTGGAAACAGTTGATTTTTCTCTCATTAAAATAGAAATTATTTTTAAAAGTGCCCTGAATAACCGGTGTGTGAAGTGGGACTCTCCATCCCAGTGCTTTCAGGTCCCAGGGTCCAAGAAGGACCTGGGCTGCTGAAGCTAAGAAGTGTTCTTTCCCCATCTAGAACACTGATGATGGAGTCCCATAGAGCATGAAACTAGAAGGTCCCTTAGAGACCAGCTAGCACTCTTTTTCACAGATGAAGAACCAAAGCCCCAAAACATGTTAAGCTAACAGCCTACACACCATGTTTGAATGCAATACCAGGTGAATATTTTCAGCTAAATACATGAGTTTCCACCCTTTAAGTCCTCTCATTTCAACTACATAATTTATCCCAGGCTCCTGGTTAAGATCCTTCTAAAGTTAATTATAGTGTATGTATTAAATGTCTTCAGTTGAAAAGAGTAACTCATCTGCTCCCAAATAGATTCATACCACATACAGTGCAACGTACGTAAGATGTTCATCCTTTCTATCCATTGATCTTTGTGGTATTCTGCAAAAGAAATCATCTGAGCCTGAAGTGTTACATGAAGTAAAATGTATATTGAAAAACTTCAAAAAGGTAAATTCCTTTTTATCATGGGACTGTTAATTTAAAGACTATTTTATCCACCTCAGAATGTGCTGTCTCCTTTAATTTTCACTGGAGGAAGAAAGGTGTAGAAAATACAAGCAGATTGCTGGTTCAGTGCCACAATTGTGTGTAATTTTTGCTAATATTTATGAAGTGCTACTTAGGATACCTGCGTTTTGTAATAATCCTAAATATCTTTTGCAGTAGCTCTTTTCCTGCTCTGTTCCGTACCTGGGAGAGTTGAGACCCCCTAGAGCCTTCTTAACTCAATGCTAACCAAATTTATGCATCGAAAACCTTCAATTCCCCTTTAAGAGTACAAATTTTTATGTTGGCTAAGGCTATCCACTTGAGAGTGGCTATTTTCTGATCAAAAGTCATGTTATATTTTGCATTAGTTCAAAGCTTTTCCAAGACTACACGTCCCTTACTCTTTTTGTAATACAGCAAGACCGATTAAAATAGAACAATACAAACAACTTTCCCTTTTTTGAAGACTTTCATTAAATTCCCTTCGAAGCTGCCACTTGAAGGTTTCCTGCTCAACAGGTTTCCTGGCATAAATGGTTCTTTATAATAAACTGCCAAAAGGTCCTCCCAGGGAACAGGAAAGTGAAGTTCAGCTTTATGTGTGTGAAGTAAAGGTTGGCTTCTCGAGTGTGCGTGTATTCAATTAGACTGTTTGTTACTGTGGCATGCACCCCTGTAGGGAAAGGGAGACTGCGCAATGGGAAGGCATGCTCGTCAGTCTGTAAGGCTTCTGTGCTGGTAAGTCATCCCTGTGCGGTCAGAGCTGGGCGCTTCAGCACTTTTATAAATGAGATGTTTCACAAAAACCAAAAGCAGTTTGTTTTGTTTGGGCCTAGACAAGACTCGGCCATGAGTATACTGTATGAGACTGGGAACTTCGCGCAGTGAAGGTTCAGCTATGAACTGTTGCCTCATCCGGAAGATGTCAGAGGCACAAGATAGCATATTGTTGGTCTTAGAAGTATTTAAAAGTGAAGTGGCGTGAAACCTGCAACTTTTTTTTTTTTTGGTACCGGGAATTGAACTGAGGACCTTGCGCTTGCCAAGCAGGAGCTGTGCCACTGAGCTAAATCCCTGGGTCCTGCAACTTATTTTTAAATGGTTTAGCATCAGCGAATACATTCATACATATATTTATGGAGAGGAAAAACTTGGAACTGGGAAAATGTTTTAGATATAGCAGAATATTAGCAGTTGTTAAAACGGGGTAGATACGTGGGGTTTCATGGTGCTAGTCTTTTAACTTTAAAAAGTATTTTATAATAAAAAAATAATTATTTTAGAAGTCTGGTTGGTGCAGAAAAGTAATAGGATTCTGCTAAATCCCATGGACCACAAAGGTGGCAGTTGGGCTTTGTGATGCGGCCGCGCTGGCCCCTCTCCTCCGGCACATACAGAACCCGCTGGAGCCGGCGTGAGAGACAGAAGCTCCGTGAGTGTGAAGCTGGCTAGTTCTCTGTCAGCAAAACACAGAAGAAACATGGCAAACGAAGAAGCAGGAACAGCTTAGGATAGGAGCCTGTAGAGTCGATTCCACGTAGGAAAACGTACGTTCAGTAAACTAGACTTTTTTTCCTCTCACTTTTCTCCTCAGTTAATTTCCAAGTTGATGTTTTCTATGTAGCTACTTGAAAATACAAGAGAAATTAAACTCCAAAATGAAACACTGTTTTAGCTTAAGATCATGTACTCTGCAATTTTTGGCCCTTTCTCCTAAATTGGCCTATACTGCTATTCTGTACTACAACTCTAGATTTCTTAAAATTTAGCAGCTCATTCATAGCATTATTATGATAATTTAAGACTGCTTAAAATACACTGGCACTCAGGTAATTTTTAATAACTTTTAATCTAAAAAGATATTTTATGAGCTGGCCAAATTTTCCCTAATTTGAGACTTTTTTTCAGTACTGGAGGTTGAACCCAAGACCCTCACACCGAGCTAGCTGCATTCCCAGCTCTTTATTTTTTGAGACAGTGTCTTACTAAATTGCCTAGGCTGGGCTTCAGTTTCTGATCGCCTGCGTCGGCCTCACAGGATGCTGGGATTACTGACTTCTTAAACTAGTAAAATAGCTCTTCCAGGTATCCCTCAAATAAATGCTAGATGTTTCCCTTTTTCTCACATTGTCATCCCTGTCCCCCCACATTGATTGCAGATTAAAAACAAGGAACATAACTGTGCATTAAATTTTCCTCATTTATATCCATAATAGAAGCAACAAACGCCCCGGCAGTGTTTTGAGAACTGAGTTTTAACCATGGTGATGGTTACTGTATAATCTCTGGCTCTCAGGACTTTTTTCCCTAAGTGTGTAAGAGTAAACAGTCTGTTTGCTGAATGACTGGTCATCTTCACTTTGTTGACTTTTGTCACCTGATCCCACTAACACCCTGAAGTCCAGATGACTCTTGAATCCAACAGTTCCTTTTTGGATTGGCAAGGACACACCTTT